GTGTCAACATTTATCAATGAATGAGCGTCCCCGTTTATTGCCTGGAATGTTGTAAAAACTAGCCTCCTTGAACCTTGACCCAAACTACCGTGTTTCATTTCTGCAAAGTTAGTAGTCGGTAATGCAACTGGTGGCTCCTGATGAATCCATTGAATCATATCTAATTTGCTTTTATGAATGATGGGGCTTTGGAGAAATGTCTGCATTCTGTTCCAATTAGCCACCATCGTACCCTGGGGATCCCAACCCTGCAATATCGGAGTGATTTACCCAGGATGCCTGCCTCTTTCATATCTTCCCTCCTATCTCCGTTTTGGAGTTTGGAAAGATGATTTTTTGCAACTCGGTAATTATATAGCCTTTGCTTAGGATAGAAATGTGAATCCCAGCACTTTGGTAGGTGGAGGCACAGGGATCAACTGAGGTCGGGAGTTCAAGACCAGCCTGGCCAACATACTGAAACCGTCTCTAATAAAAATACAAAATTAGCTGGGCGTGGTGGCGCATGCCTGTAATCCCAGCTACTTGGGAGGCTGAGGCAGGAGAATCGCTTGACCCCAGGAGGCAGAGGTCGAGGTGAGCCAAGATTGCACCATTGCACTCCAGCCTGGGCAACAAGAGCAAAACTCCGTCTCAAAAAAGAAAAAAAAAGAAAAAGAAAAAAGAAATGTAACCAAAACTCTAGAAAAGCAAAGTAGAATGTTTGAAGACTACTAAGTGACTCCTGGGTTGGAAGGGTTCTTGCACAAGGCACAGAGCAAGCAGCCAAGAGGCTTGTTTTTCGCTTTTTTTTTTTTTTTTTTTTTAGGACGGAGTCTCACTCCGCCACCAGGCTGGAGTGCAATGGCGCGGTCTCAGCTCACTGCAACCTCTCCCTCCTGGGTTCAAACAATTCTCCGGCCTCAGCCTCCCGAGTAGCTGGGATTACAGGCATGTGCCACCACGCCAGGCTAATTTTTGTATTTTTAGTAGAGACAGGGTTTCACCACATCGGCCAGGCTGGTCTCAAACTCCTGACCTCAGGTGATCTACCCACCTCAGCCTCCCAAAGTTCTGGGATTACAAGGGTTACGTTAAATATTAAAAGTTGAGAGTGCCAGGGCTCTTAAACAAAGGCTGGGATGTAACAAAAGCCCATCCAGAGTGATCTGTGCGTAGGCCTTTCCTGGGCCTTGAAGCATGACGTGATAAAGAAGGAATTCTTAACAAGACCCGTTTAGGATTAAACAAGCTTTATTGGAGAACTGAAGAAATTCCCCAGGCCTCCACAAACAAGTTTATTGGGGTTTGAAGGAGCTCCCCAAACCTCCGTGATTTAACAGGAGGCAAGATAAGAGGAATCACCCCAGCACCTGGTCCCACTTAAGATTAAGTAAATTTACTGAGGCTGCAGAGGAAGATCTGCAGGACTCAGATCTTAGTTCTAGGTTAAAAGGATATAATCACTTACGGTTGAGCACGATGGCTCACGCCTGTAATCCCAGCACTTCGGGAGGCTGAGGCAGCTGGATCACTTGAGTTCAAGAGTTGGAGACCAGGCCGGGCGCAGTGGCTCATGCCTGTAATCCCAGCACTTTGGGAGGCCGAGGCGGGTGGATCACGAGGTCGAGAGATCGAGACCATCCTGGTCAACATGGTGAAACCCCGTCTCTACTAAAAGTGCAAAAAATTAGCTGGGCATGGTGGCACGTGCCTGTAATCCCAGCTACTCAGGAGGCTGAGGCAGGAGAATTGCCTGAGCCCAGGAGGCGGAGGTTGCGGTGAGCCGAGATTGCGCCATTGCACTCCAGCCTAGGTAACAAGGGTGAAACTCCGTCTCAAAAAAAAAAAAAAAAAAAAGAGTTGGAGACCAGCCTGACCAACTTAGTGAGACCCTCCCACCTGCCCCACCCCCATCTCTACTGAAAATACAAAAATTAGCCGGGTGTGGTGGCACGTGCCTGTATTCCCAGCTACTCAGGAGGCTGAGGCAGAAGTACGTTTGAACCAGGAAGCTGGAGGTTGCAGTGAGCTGAGATTGTGCCATTGCACTCCAGCCTAACAACAGAGCGAGACTCCATCTCAATAAATAAAATAAATAAATAAAGATACGATGCTGGGTGCTGTGGCTCACGTCTGTGATCCTAGCACTTTGGGAGGCTGAGGCAGGAAGATTGCTTGAGCCCAGGAGTTTCCCACCAGCCTAGTCAACATGGTGAAACCTCATCTCTACAAAAAATACAAACTAGCTGAGTGTGGTGGCACACACTTGTACTCCCAGCTACTTGGGAGGCTGAACTAGGAGAATCATTTGAGCCTGGGTGGTGGTGAAGTCTGCAGTGAGCTATGATGGCATCACTGCACTCCAGCCTGAGCAACAGAGACCCTGTTTTTGAGACCCTGTCTCAAAAACAAAAAGAAGATATGCTTTTCTAAAACATTGCAATTAATTGGGCAAAATATGAGGTTCAGGTCCAATAGGGTTTGTTACATATCACATCGGTTACTGTTAACTCTTGCTGAACAGACCCTGATGTCCTTCCTTAGCAGTAGAAAGTCATAGTTGTGGCTGAGTGTGTGTCTTACACCCACAATCTCAACACTTCGGGAGGTTGAGGCGGGAGGATCACTTGAGGTTGAGGCCAGTAGTTTGAGGCCAACCTGGGCAACATAGGAAGACCCTGTCTCTACAAAGAAATAAATCAGCTGAGTGTGGTGATGTGCACTTGTGGTCCCAGCTACACAGGAGGTCGAAGTGGGAGGATCACTTGAACCTGGGAAGTCAAGGCTGCAGTGAGCTATTATCACACCACTGCAGCCTGGGCAGTAGAATGAGACCCCATCTCAAAAAAAAAAAAAAAAAAAAGTCGGCTGGGCTCGGTGGCTCATTGGGCTCGGTGCTCCCAGCCCTTTGGAAGGCCAAGGCGGGTGGATCATGAGGTCAGATTGAGACCTTCCTAGCCAACATGGTGAAAACCCGTCTCTACTAAAATATAAAAAATTAGCTGGGGTAGTGGTGCGCACCTATAGTCCCAGCTACTTGGGAGGCTGAGACAGGGGAATTGTTTGAACCCAGGAGGCAAAGGTTGCAGTGGGCTGGGATCATGCCACTGCACTGCACTCCAGTCTGGCAAAAGAGCAAGACTGTCTCAAAAAAGAAAAATAAAAAAAATAAAAGTCACGGTCCTGACATCTCATCCGATTCCTTTCAAAGCTTAACTCACTGGGCAATTAGTATCAAAAGTCTCTCTTGGCTAGGCACATGCCTGGTTCATGCCTGTAATCCCAGCATTTTGGGAGGCCAACGCAGGTGGATCACCTGAGGTCAGGAGTTCGAGACCAGCCTGGCCAAAATACTGAAACCCTGTCTCTACTAGACATTACAAAATTAGCTGGGTGTGGTTAGTGTGTGCCTCTAATCCCAGCTACTCAGAAGGGTGAGAGAGACTCACCTGAACCTGGGAGGCGGAGGTTGCAGTGAGCTGAGATCTCGCCACTGCACTCCAGCCTGGGCAACAAGAGTGAAACTCTGTTTCAAAAAAAAAAAAAAAAAATTGGCCAGGCGTTGTGGCTCACGCCTGTAATGCAAGCACTTTGGGAGGCCAAGGTGGGCGGATCACCTGAGGTCAGGAGTTCGAAGACCAGCCATGGCCAACATGGTGAAATCCCCGTCTCTAGTAAAAATATGAAATGACATTTGTGGGCATACCACTGTGCCTGGCACCAGGCCTTGGCTGTTTTTAATGCTCCCCAGGTGATTCTAATGTAAAATTGAGGACAGAGGTGGTGGACTGTTAGGGTATTGGTTTCCAGTAAACCACACCTCCTAGTGTTCATGCCCTCGTGGCGTTCCCTACCAGACTCCAGGTTTGGCCATGGGGCTTGTTTTGGCCACTGAAATAGGCTAGGTAGGCTGAGTGCAATGGCTAATGCCTGTAATCCCAACACTTTGGGAGGCCAAGGCAGGCAGATCACCTGAGGTCAGGAGTTCAAGACCAGCCTGGCCAACACTGGTGAAACCTCATCTTTACTAACATACAAAAATTAGCGGGGCGTAGTGTCGGGCACCCAGCTACTCAGGAGGCTGAGGCAGGAGAATCGACTGAATCCAGGAGGTGGAGGTTGCAGTGAGCCAAGACCCCACTTCTGAACTCCAGCCTGGGGAACAGAGTGAGACTCTGTCTCAAAAAATAATAAAAAGAAATAAGGTAATGTGGATGGAGATCCTGGAGGTTGGGATGCCACCCTGACTTTCTGGCCCCAGGAAAGCCAACACAACTAAATGAGTGAACTGAACCACACTCATGGAGCAGAATCCTCCAGCCGAGCAGGGTCCACCCACAGAATTGTGATAATGAATCTGCCTTTTGGCGGTGTTATTCGGGGAGAGAGAACTTAAGTAACTACTTTTCCACTGCACTGACGACGTGTTTCCACAGTGCTACATGATGCGGACGCCTGCTGCTGGCTCATGGATGGAGGTGTGCAACTGTCTTTCCGCCAGGCCATGGGGAACCGCTGGTGTAAGCAGCGCTCATCAGAATGCACGTCCTCTCTCTCGGGTGTGAGCCACAGGTGGGGACAGATGTGCCATCCAAGTTTTTCCAACTGAGTTGCTGGTTTCCAGTATGCATATTTTTCTGTGCCACAAATTCAAAAGGCAGCATTCGGATGATAATTAAATAGCCTTTAAGAAGACACTCAGACTTGACCAGGTGTGGTGGCTCACACCTGTAATCCAGCACTTTGGGAAGACCAAGGCAGGTGGATCACAAGGTCAGGAGTTTGAGACTAGCCTGGCCAAGATGGTGAAACCTGTCTCTACTAAAAATACAAAAAATTAACCAGGCGTGGTGGTGCCTGTAGTCCCAGGTACTTGGGAAGTTGAGGCAGGAGAACTGCTTGAACCCGGGAAGTGGAGGTTGCAGTGAGCTGAGTTCACACCACTGCACTCCAGCCTGGGAGACAGAGTCAGACTCTGTCTTAAAAAAAAAAAAAAAGGAAAAATAAGGCACGCAGACTTATAATAACTGGCTTTTGCTTTATTGTGTAATTTACACAGGACAACCCTAAATCCCACACTTGGTTTTTCTCTTCTGCCTTCGTTATTCTTTCAACAGCTCCATCAACAGAGATTATTTCTCGAGCAGCACATGCGGTTTGACTGTCAACAAGGACACACAGGCCTGACAAGATCCCAGCCCTCCACCATGGATGCCTGAGCCCTCCACCATGGATGCCTGAGCCCTCCACCATGGATGCCTGAGCCCTCCCATTTGACTGCACCCATGTCTGTCTGTGCTGGCGCTCTGCACTGCTCCTGCCTCCCCTGAGGTGTCCTTAGGGTAGGAATGCCGAACAGGCTCCCAGTGACGTGTCAACTGTGAGTAAATACGAGAGGCTGTTAGGAGCTCCCGGCTGAGGACCGAGAGGCAGGCTGTATCTGGGTTCCATGTCAAAGAATGCTGTGATCCATTAGCAATGTCTGCCATGGCAACGCCCATTAGAAGTACCTGGAAGGAGGGTTTTGGGAACAGGCTCAGAGACGAACGAGGCGTGTCTGTTCCATTCTTCCCTTAGGTGGCTGTTCTGCTGGCCAGGCTGCGCTGTCTCAGTGGCCAGGTGGCTAAGGAGGAAGTCTCAAGACCACAGAGTTGCAAGTGGCTTCTCTGGGGCCTGCAGGGAATAGCACAGGCCTCAAGCTACAGGAAGCTCGAAAGGGCACCCACGCTGGGTCCTGCAGGGTTCTGCATACGGCAGGCCACCTGGCATTATCAGCTCCTGACCCTCTGGAGTCTGTCTCATCCGGGAGAAGACAGCTGGCTGGTCTCAGAGCGTTAGCTGCAACTAGGGGGTAAAAACATTTACCTCTGGATAAACTTAGAAACTTTCCATCCAAACGAAAAGGGTGTATCTTCTATATGTTGCCAAGAGACCTAAACTGAGGACAAGGACAATTTTACTTTAATCAAGTTCCAGCACGAGGGTGCACAGCTCCGAAGAGCAGTCTGTAGCAGAAGACACGAGGGCGTGTCTAGAATACACCGAAGGAAACACATACAACTCCAGCGGGGCCTTTGGCGAACCCTCGATGCCGCTCCATCCTGGGCGCAGGCAGCTACTTCGTCCAGCTGACTTTGGGAATGTCGTAATGCTCCGTGAGTGTGTCCAGGTGTCTGTTAAAGTCCTGGGAAAGTGGAGTGGAAGGCCGGTGTCAGCACAGACCCAAGCGGGGTGCTGGGGAGAAGACGCACTGCCCAGCCCCATCTCTCCCACATCCCATCTCTCCTGGCCCCTCCTCTCAAACTCACCCTGCCAGGCCTTACAGACGCCTGAACCCTGGGCTCACCTTTGAGTAGCCCTAGGGAAGTGTCATTTCTGTGGGTAAGCTTCCCTTCTCCTCAACATGCCAACAGCTCCCTCTGGGCCCAGCTGGGACCCCGAATGCCTCAGCCTCCCCCACTGGACACAGTGACTCACCTCCACTCTCTGCTTGTGGGTTTTGGATGCTTTCTTCAGGATTCTTTCCATTTGCTGAAGAGAGAAGAGACACGGAGGTGAGTTTACACACAGCCCAGGCCGGCACGGGATGGAAGATGGAGCCCTGGCCGACCCAGCTCTCACGTTTAAAACAGCTGGAGGTTTCAGGCTGTGTGCCTTGCCCGCTCCCTCAGCTGCACTCAGGCTGGTCCAACAGGGAACCCAGGTCAGTTACCAGCCTCGTGAGTGGCAGGAAATGAACCAGCAATGCCTGAGTGCGTACCCAGGAGCAGACTCTGCTGGGAGCTGTCAGCACGCTTCCCACTTCCTGAGGTGACCGACAGCACTCTCAGTTTGGAAGAAAACAAAGTCGCAGAGGAGGTTTGAGGAATGATGAGAGAGAGAGAGAGAGGTAAAGAGCCCAGCACGGAGCAGGCACTCAAGTGACACTTCCCATCCTGACGTCAGGGCTACAAGACCAGGATCGCTGTCCCCAGCGTGACTCTGAAATATGTATCCTGCACAATGACCTGCTCCAACCTTCACTTCAAACACTCAATGACACCTGGAAAGGTCAGTATCTGGTAGCAGCTGGGACTGTGGGCTGGGCACAGTGGCCCATGCCTGTAATCCCAGCACTTTGGGAGGTTAAGGCAGGAGAGCTTGAGCCCAGGAGTTCCAACGTGAGGAGACCCCAACTCTACAAAAAAATCAGCTGACTGTGGTGGCGCATGCCTGTGTTCCCAGCTACTGGGGTGGCTGCGGTGAGAGGACTGCTGGACCCAGCAGGCAGTGGGCTATGATCACACCACTGCACTCCAGCCTGGGGAACAGAGTGACGGAGACCCTGTCTCAGAAAAAGAGTTGGGAGTGTGGGACACAAAGCCAGACAGATCTGAGGCCCCACACTTCCTAGCTGGGCGACCGTGGCCCACTCTTTGGTGGCCCCCACGAACCCTGCTGCCTATTAGTCATTGCTCGTGCAGTTCCCGTGCCTCTGAGTTGGCTGTGGACTCAGTTAACTCAAAAGAACATGGTGCCAGTTCTGGGTCCACACATAAGACCTGGCAGCGTCAGCTTCAAGCCCTTGGAAGCCAGTCGCTGTGCAGGAAGTCTGATGGCTTTGCTGGAAAGAAAGGACCTGGAGGATGAGATGACATGGAGGGAGAGGCCGGGCGTGATGGCTCACGCCTGTAATCCTAACACTTTGAGGGCAGAGGCGGCAGATCACTTGAAGTAAGGAGTTCGAAACCAGGCTGGCCAACATGGCGAAACCCCGTCACTATCAAAAATACAGAAATTAGCTGGGTGTGGTGGTGTGCACCTGTAGTCCCAGCTACTCGGAAAGCTGAGGCAGGAGAATCACTTGAACCTGGGAGGTGGACGTTGCAGTGAGTGAGATCAAGCCACTGCACTCCAGCCTGGGCAACAGAGCAAGTCTCTTGTCTCAAAAAAAAAAAGAAACACTGAGGCACCAGCTGTATGATGGCAAAGCCAACTTAGATACTTCAACACAGCTGCCCCTGCAGAGACTCCAGGCCCAGCTGCCATTTGACTGCACCAGACTCCAAGTGAGGTCAGCAGGAGAGCTGCCCTGCTGAGCCCAGTTTCCCCAAGAGCACCATGAGACATTATCAGTAGGAGCCACCTGGCTGCTCCTCTGTCCCCTCTTCTCCTCTCCCTCCTCACCTCCTTCCGTGTCCAGTCAGCCCCCGCCTGGCTGATCCTCCCGCTAAGCGGTGCACCTGCCCATCTCTGCCCCTCTGCCTGCTGCTGTGAGCCCAGCCAAAGCCTGTGTCTCCTCACAAGAAGCCACACTGACTTGTCCAAACTGCCACACAATGCCAGGTACCTGGCTGGGCTCTACCCACAGGTGTGGCACCCTGTTAATATTTTAGTTTTTGCAGAGACAGGGTATCGCTATGTAACCCAGGCTAGTCTCAAACTCCTGGCCTCCCAAAATGTTGGGATTACAGGTGTGAGTCACTATGCCTGGCTGATTCCACTTGGATTGGATTTCTAATGGGGCACCCCATTTACCTTTTTTAATTTTTTGAGACGGAGTCTTGCTGTGTTGCCAGGCTAGAGTGCAGTGGCGCAATATGGGCTCACTGCAACGTCCGCCTCCTGGGTTCAAGCAATTCTCCTGCCTCAGCCTCCTGAGTAGCTGGGACTACAGGCGTGCACTACCAAACCCGGCTAATTTTTGTATTTTTAGTAGAGACGGGCTTTCACCACGTTGGCCAGGATGGTCTCAATCTCGAGCTCCTGATCTGCCTCAGCCTCCAAAAGTTCTGGAATTACAGGAGTGAGCCCCCACGCCCAGCCTCCCATTTACCTTCTTCAAAACTCTAGCTTTGGTTCCCATCCCTCGACCCCCATCCCAGAAAACCTGCTTCACCTGCAATCCTTCCCACCCCAGTCAACAACACCTTCATTCATCAAACTGCCCAGCCCAAAGACTTGACTCTTCTTTCCTTCCCAGCTGACATCCAACCCAACAGCTAACCCTGCATTCATCCTTGAAAACCTATCCCCAGCCTGTTACCTTCCAGCTGCTCCGCCATGACTGCTCTACTCTGAGCTGCCATTATTAGTCTCCTGATAGTTGCATCAGTCTCTCTCTCTTTTTTTTTTTTTTTGAGACGGAGTTTCGCTCGTTACCCAGGCTGGAGTGCAATGCTGCGGTCTCGGCTCACCGCAACCTCCGCCTCCTGGGTTCAGGCAATTCTCTTGCCTCAGCCTCCTGAGTAGCTGGGATTACAGGCACGTGCCACCATGCCCAGCTAATTTTTTGTATTTTTAGTAGAGACGGGGTTTCACCAGGTTGACCAGGATGGTCTCGATCTCTCGACCTCGTGATCCACCCGCCTCGGCCTCCCAAAGTGCTGGGATTACAGGCTTGAGCCACCGTGCCCGGCCTGCAACAGTATCTTAACCTGGCTCCAGCAATAAAATCTCAGCCCTGCCTCTGACGACAGCCTCAGGGTTAGAGGGACAGAAATGCATTCACTTGGCCAGACACGGTGGCTCACACCTGTAATCCCAGCACTTTGGGAGGCTGAGGCAGGTAAATCACTTGAGGTCAGATCATCAGGACCAGCCTGGCCAACACAGTGAAACCCCATCTCTACTACAAATACAAAAATTAGCTGGGTGTGGTGGTGGGCACCTGTAGTCCTAGCTACTTGGGAGGCTGAGGCAGGAGAATTGCTTGAATGCAGGAGGCAGAGGTTGCAGTGAGCAGAGATTGTGCCATTGCACTTCAGCCTAGGCGATGGAGCAAGACTCCATTTCAAAAAAGAAAAATTAAAAAAAAAAGGGGGAGGCCGAGGCGGGTGGATCACAAGGTCAAGAGCTCGAGACCATCCTGGCCAACATGGTGAAACCCCATCTCTACTAAAAATACAAAAAATTAGCTGGGCATGGTGGCATGTGCCTGTAATCCCAGCTACTCAGGAAGCTGAGGCAGGAGAATTGCCTGAACCCAGGAGGCGGAGGTTGCAGTGAGCCAAGATCGCGCCACTGCACTCCAGTCAGGTGACAGCAAGTCTCCGCTCCCCTCGACCACCCTCAAAGAAACGAATTCACTTGTTAAATCCTTACCACAACCCTATGAGGTAGACTTTAGTGCTACTTTAAGTAAAAGATAACTAACTTGCTCAGAGTTACACCACTAATTCATGGTAGAGGCTGAGTAAAACTCAGGTCTGTGTTGCCAGAGCTAGCACATCCATGTGTTTTCCGTATGCCTGAATTAGACCTGGGAGTAAGGAGTCAATTTTCCCCACTGTCACCATACAGAATCACCTAGACCAGGGATTTCTCCGCCTCGGTACCACTGACATTTGGAGTCAGATCATTCTTTTTTTTTTTTCTGAGATGGAGTCTCACTCTGTAGCCCAGGCTGGAGTGCAGTGGCACGATCTCAGCTCACTGCAACCTCTGCCTCCCGGTTCAAGCAATTCTCCTAAACTCAGCCTCCCAAGAATTATAGGCACCAGCCACCATGCCCAGCTAATTTTTGTATTTTTTAGTAGAGACAGGGGTTCATCATGTAAGCCAGTTTGGTCTTGAACTCCTAACCTCATGATCCACCCACCTTGGCCTCCCAAAGTGCTGGGATTACAGGCGTGAGCCGCCGCACCCGGCCTGGAGTCGGATGGTTCTTGGCTGCAGTGGGCTGTCCTGTGTATTGCAGGGCGAGAAGCATCATCCCTGGCCTCTAGCCACTGTTGCCAGTAGTCCCCACCCCAACCCAGCTGAGAACCAAAAATGTCTCCAAACCTTGAGTTTAGGGGAGTGGAGACTGCACCCAGTTGAGAATCACTGACCTTCACGGATTATTCCCTCTCCCCAGCATAATGGACCAAGTTTATTTATCTTACTATGAACTCTTTTGTTCTCTATTGCATACCACACATTTATTGTGTTTAATATCAAGAAAAAATAATTAATTGGAGCTTTAAAATACAACACAAACAATGTCATCATGGGCATGGCCATTCAGTATCAACAGCTGAGACTGGGAGCAGTGGCTCACACCTAGAATCCCAGTACTTTGGGAGACTGAGGCAGGAGGATCACTTGAGGTCAGGAGTTCGAAACCAGCCTGGCCAATATGGTGAGACCGCGTCTCTATTAATCACAGTTTCTCGGGAGGCTGAGCCAGGAGAATTGCTTGAACCCGGGAATCGGAAGCTGCAGTGCTCCCACCCACGCAAAACAAATAAATTTTAAAAATATACACCGTTTGAATCTGCCAAAAAAAAAAGTTGTCATGGAAATCTTTGTGGTGACTTCGAGCGGTGAGCACTGTGAAACCTCGTCTCTACTAAAAATACAGGAATTAGCTGGGCATGGTGGTGGGTGCCTGAAGTCCTAGCTACTCGAGAGGCTGAGACAGGAGAATCGCTTGAACCCAGGAGGCAGAGGTTGCAGTGAGCCGAGATCGCGCCACTGCACTCCAGCCTGGGCAACAGAGTGAGGCTCCATTTCAAAAAAGGGGGAAAAAAAAAAAAAAAGGCCATTTAATATCACTTAATATCAACAGCAGACAGCCACTGAACATTTATGCATTGCTTTTTACCTTCATGACTTCCTCTGAAGTTCCCAACCCTCTTAAAGTACTATCCTAACTCGCACAAAGAAGGAAACCGAGGCACGGAAATAATAAAGTCACTGGCCTAGTGTCGCAGGGCAAATGAGCCACAGCTCTGGAATCCAAACCCGGGTCTCCAGCTTTAGCTCTCCCCTCTGCTGCCCACTCTGGCCAGCGGAGTCTTCTCATCCTTGGAGCTCCCCAGGCAGGGGACGACTCCTCTCTTACGCACAGCATCATCTCCCCGTAATTAAGGTCTCCTCCGACTGCTCCCCTGCCCTCCGAGAGCCCCAGCCCTGACCGCAATTTCGAGTCTCCTGGCGCCGGACGTCCCCGCCCTCCCCGCCGCCTTCTGCTTCTGCTCACCCGCTTCTCCTGCATTTTCTCGAAGGCCGCCTGGGCCGGGGTCCGCTTGTCCAGGCCGCGCCGCTTCTCCTCCTCGTTCTTTTTGCTCGTTCCCATTGCTTCCAGGAGTTTCGCTTTGTCTTTGTCCTTCTTTTTCTTCTTCCTGGAAAACGAAACGAGGGGGCGGTTGAGGGCGGGTCGGAGAGTCAGGGCCAGGGTTTCCGAGAAAAGGTCTAAGGGGAGTGAAAACGGAATCCCGCAGGCCCTCGGGCCTCACCGCTTAGTCACTCCGAGCTCTGCGACGCCTTTCAGCTTCAAGGGTCCCTTTTGGACCTGCTCGTAGGCCTCCATGACACTCCCCGATAGTTCAGCAGGTGGACTGCCACACTTCCTGTTTGCAAATACCATTTCCGCCCGAATGCCCGCCTTGCTTCTCTTTGATTGGCTGAGCTACAGGATGAGCGTTACGTTCTTGGTTCTTGGTTCTGGACCCGCGACACTCTTCCGGTAGTGGGCTGGACTGCGAGCCCAGCGAGTTCGCCCTCCTCTCATTCAGTCTCCTGCCACACTTCCGAATTTGGCGCCAACTTCCGGTCTCCCATCCTTCAGACAGGGAGCTGGAAACTCAACCCCTTTTTGAGCATTTTGCCCGCTTTTGGGTGTCCTGTTCTCTCTCCCTGTTCTTTTTTTTTTCTCTTTTCTTTTTTAGAGACAGGGTCTTGGTCTGTCGCCTAGGCTGGAGTGCAGTGGCGCGATCTTAGCTCACTGCAGCCTTGAACTCGTGGACTCAAGAGATCCTCCCGCTTCAGCCTCTCCAGCAGCTGGCACTACAGGCGGGCGCCACTGAGCGCGGCTAATATTTTAATTTTTTGTAGAGATGGGGGTCTCGCTACCTTGTCCAGGCTGGTCTCAAACTCCTGAATTCAAGCCATCCTCCTGCTTCAGCCTCCCAAAACACTGGATCACAGGCCTCAACCATGGCGCCCATCCCCTGTTCTGGGAAGCTAGACCTAATTTTGTAAATCTACTCAGTATTCATTAATTTTTCAGCTTTTGGTAAATGACAATATTATGTGGTATGTTAAAACAATTAAAAATCAATTTTATGAGGCATATTTTATATACAGTAAATATGCAATCATTTTTATTCATTTATTTCTTTTCTTCTTTTTTTTTTTTTGAAGATGGGGTTTCGCCATGTTGGTCAGGCTGGTCTTGAACTCCTGACCTCAGGTGATCCGCCCACCTTGGCCTCCAAAGTGCTTGGATTACTGGCGTGAGCCACCACGCCCAGCCCGTTTATTTCTTTAGTTGACAAAATTGTATATTTACTGTTCACAATACGATGCTTTGAAGTATGTGTGCATTGTGGGATGGCTAAGTCAAGCTAATTACCGTGTATCCTCAAATACTTATTTTTTAATGGTGAGACCACTTAAAATCTCTCGTAGCAATTTTCGAGAGTATAATACATTGTTATTAACTATAGTCACCATGTTGTAAAATAGATCTCTTGAACTTATTTTTCTTCTCCTTATTTTTCTAAGACAGAATCTCGCTCTGTCACTAGGCTGGAGTGCAGTGGTGCGATCTCGGCTCACTGCAACCTCTGCCTCCCAGGTTCAAGCAATTCTCCTGCCTCAGCCTCCCGAGTAGCTGGGATTACAGACACACACTACCATGCCCGGCTAATTTTCATGCTTTTTTTTTTTTTTTTTTTTTTTTTTGAGACGGAGTTTCGCTCTTGTTACCCAGGCTGGAGTGCAATGGCGCGATCTCGGCTCACCACAACCTCTGCCTCCTGGGTTCAGGCAATTCTCCTGCCTCAGCCTCCTGAGTAGCTGGGATTACAGGCACGCGCCACCATGCCCAGCTAATTTTTTGTATTTTTAGTAGAGACGGGGTTTCACCATGTTGACCAGGATGGTCTCGATCTCTTGACCTTGTGATCCACCCGCCTCGGCCTCCCAAAGTGCTGGGATTACAGGCGTGAGCCACCGCGCCTGGCTAATTTTTGTATTCTTAGTAGACATGGGGTTTCACCATGTTGGCCAGGCTGCTCTCAAACTCTTGACCTTGTGATCCACCCGCCTCGGCCTCCCAAAGTGCTGGGATTACAGGCATGAGCCACCGTGCCCAGCCTTCTCCTCTCTTAACTGAAATTTTATGTCCTTTTTTGATTCACAGAAGTGAGATCATGTGGTATTTGTCGTTCTAAAATGTACCAATTTAGTCCAGGCATGGTGTCTCACTCCTGTAATACCAGCACTTTGGGAGGCTGAAGTGGGTGGATCACTTGAGGTCAGGAGTTCAACACCAGCCTGGCCAACATGGTGAAACCTTGTCTCTAGTAAAAATATGAAAAATTAGCTGGATGTGGTGGTGTGCCCCTGTAATCCCATCTACTCGGGAGGCTGAGACAGGAGAATTGTTTGAGCCTGGGAAGTGGAGGTTGCAGTGAGCTGAGCTCTCGCAACTGCATTCCAGCCTGGGAGACAAGAGTGAAACTGTCTCAAAACAAACGAGCAAACAAACGAAATAAACAAAAAGCTATGTGCATGTGCACATCTCATATTTTAAAAACACACACACACACAAAGTGCAGAAGGAGTTAAAGAGAGAAAGGAAGGCCGGACGCGGTGGCTCAAGTCTGTAATCCCAGCACTTTGGGAGGCCGAGGCGGGTGGATCATGAGGTCAAGAGATCGAGACCATCCCGGTCAACATGGTGAAACCCCGTCTCTACTAAAAATACAAAAAATTAGCTGGGCATGGTGGTGCGTGCCTGTAATCCCAGCTACTCAGGAGGCTGAGGCAGGAGAATTGCCTGAACCCAGGAGGCGGAGGCTGCGGTGAGCCGAGATCGTGCCATTGCACTCCAACCTGGGTAACAAGAGGGAAACTCCGTCTCAAAAAAAAAAAAAAAAAAAGAGAGAGAGAAAGGAAGGATCAAGTGCAGCGACTCATGCTTGTAAGTCTAGGGCATTGGGAAGATTGCCTGAGGATAGATCAGCCTGGACAACTTAGTGAGAACCTATCTCTACTATTTTAAAATATACATATATTTTTAAAAGGCCAGGCACAGTGGCTCATACCCGTAATCCTAGCACTTAGGGAGGCAGCGGTGGGCAGATCACCTGAGGTCAAAAGTTTGAGACCAGACTGGGCAACATGGAGAAACCCCATCTCCACAGAAAATTTAAAAATCAGCTGGGTGGGCCAGGTGCAGTAGCTCACACCTGTAATCTCAGCACTGAGGCCAAGGTGGGCAGATCACAAGGTCAGGAGATCGACACTATCCTGGCCAACATGGTGAAACCTCGTCTCTACTAAAAATACAAAAATTAGCTGGGCGTGGTGGTTTGAGCCTGTAGTCCCAGCTGCTCAGGAGGCTGAGGCAGGAGAATCGCTTGAACCTGGGATGCGGAAGTTGCAGTGAGCTGAGATTGTGCCACTGCACTCCAGCCTGGGTGACAGAGCTAGACTCTGTCTCAAAAAACAAACAAACAAACAAACAAACAAACCAATAAATAGAGACAGGGTCTTTCTATGTTGCCCAGGCTGGTCTCGAACTTCTGGGCTCAAGTCATCCTCCTGTCTCAGCCTCCCACACTGCTAGGATTACGGGCTGGAGCCACTACACCCAGCCCTTAAAAAAAAAGTATAGGGCCAGGCGCGGTGGCTCAAGCCTGTAATTCCAGCACTTTGGGAGGCCGAGGCAGGTGGATCACGAGGTCGAGAGATCGAGACCATCCTGGTCAACATGGTGAAACCCCGTCTCTACTAAAAATACAAAAAATTAGCTGGGCATGGTGGCACGTGCCTGTAATTCCAGCTACTCAGGAGGCTGAGGCAGGAGAATTGCCTGAGCCCAGGAGGCGGAGGTTGCGGTGAGCCGAGATCGCGCCATTGCACTCCAGCCTGGGTAACAAGAGTGAAACTCCGTCTCAAAAAAAAAAAAAAAAAAAAATGTATAGTGTGTGTGTGTGTATATGTTTAAATCAGACTTCAGGAGGCCAAGGTTCACTTGAGTTCAGGAGTTCAAGACCAGTCTGGCCAACATGGTGAAACCCTGTCTCTACTAAGAAAAACAAAAACAAAAATTAGCTAAGCGTGGTGGCCTTTGCCTGTAATTCCAGCTACTTGGTAGGCTGAGGCATCAGAATTGCTTCAACCTGTGAGATGGAGGTTGCAGTAAGCCATAATCACACATGCATTCCAGCCTGTGTGACAGAAGGAGACTACATCTTAAAAAAAAAAAAAAAAAAAAAAAAAAAAAAATCAATAGGGAGGAATAGAGTATTACTGTGTTGTCCAGGTTGGTCTAAAACTCCTTCCTCCTGAAGTGCTAGAATTACAGGCGTGAGCCACCACTCCTGGCCCTTTCTTTCTTTTCACCCTTTCAGTACTGTGCAGTTTTCTTACATGGGACGTGTACATGCATATATGTATATATATTTTTGAGACAGAGTCTCCATTTGTTGCCCAGGCTGCAGTGCAGTAGTGAGATCTCGGCTGACCGCAACCTCTGCCTCCTGGGTTCAAGAGATTCTCCTTTCTCAGCCTCCTGAGTAGCTGAAATTACAGGCGCCTGCCACCACACTCCACTAAATTTTGTATTTTTAGTAGAGACGGGGTTTTGCCATGTTGTCCAGGCTGGTTTTGAACTCCTGACCTCAGGTGATCCGCCCATCTAAGCCTCCCAAAGTGCTGGTATTACAGGCATGAGCCACCGCGCCCGTATTTGCATATATCTTTTTTTTTTTTTTTTTTTTAAAGATGGGGTTTCACCATGATGGCCAGGCTGGTCTTGAACTCCTAACGTCAGGTGATTCACCTACCTCGGCCTCCCAAAGTGCTAGGATTACAGGCGTGAGCCACCACGCCCGGCTGCATATATCTTTTTAATGTCAGCAAAGTACTATGGAAATTTTTGGTTTCTTCTCTATTTATCTCTGTATTAAAAACCTACGGGGGGGGGGGGGAAGCCTGTTATAATGAGGAGAATGTAAAAAGACTGTGCCTACCAAGTATCTGTGAAGATGTGGTAAAACTAGAACTCAAATGTACAGCTGCTGTGAATGTGAAATGGCTTAAACGGTTTAGAAATCAGTCTCACAGTTCTTTAAAAGGTTAAACATGGCTGGGTACGGTGACTCATGCCATAATCCTAGCACTTTGGGAGGCCAAGGTGGGTGGATCCTGAGGTGAGGAGTTTGAGACCAGCCTGGCCAGTATGACAAATCCTGTCTTCACTAAAAATGCAAAAAGTTAGCTGGGCATGGTGGCGCATGCCCGTAGTCCCGGTTCCTCAAGAGGCTGAGGCAGGAGAATTGCTGGAACCTGGGAAGTGGAAGTTTCAGTGAGCGGAGATTGCACCACTGCACT